TTTTCCTTAAATACTTTAGCTTGCATATTGTTAACTGGATTTCAATATTTGAGTTTTTTTCTTTGGATGTAAAATTTACACACAGTGAAAAATATAAGTCAAAGATACATTTCCTGAGTTTTGACATATGGCGCCCACCTGGGTAACCTCAGATGATGTATATATATATATAAATAATATGTGTATGTATTATATGTAATTATAATATGTACATGTATTATACATATATTTTTAATATATATAATATTTTTTTTCTTTTTGGTAAGGAAGATTGGCCCTGAGCCTGACATCTGTTGACAGTGTTCCTCTTTCTGCTTGAGGAAGATTGACCCTGAGCTAACATCTGTGCCAGTCTTTCTCTATTTTGTATGTGGGACATTGCCACGGCATGGCTTGTTGAGCAGTGTGTAGGTCTGCACCTGGGACCCAAACCCATGAACCCCAGGCTGCCGGAGCAGAATGTGCAAATTTAACCACTACGCCACCAGGCTGGCCCCGACTTATTTTTTTTATTGTATTAAAATATATGTAACTTAAAATTTGCTATTTTAACCATTTTTAAGTGTTCAATTCAGTGGCGTTAAGTACATTCACATTGTCGTGCTACCATCACCACTATCCATCTCCGGTCCTTTTTTGTCTTTCCTTACTGAAACTCTGTCCTGTTAAACAGTGACTCCCAGTCTCCCTCAACACTCAGTTCTTAGTAACCACTATTCTGCTTTCTGTCTCTGTGAAGTTGACTATTCTAGGTACTTCATATAAGTGGAATAATACAATATTTATCCTTTTGTGTCTGCCTTATTTCACACAGCATAACGTTTTAAAGATTCATCCATGTTGCAGCCCGTATCAGAATTTCATTCCTTTTAAGGCTGAATAAGATGAAGTGATATACTTTTAAGCTGCTGAGGCTTTTGTGTTTCTTAATTGACTTTACGTTCTTCAAATAAATCACTCTATAGAACAAAGGTAACTCTGAGTGTTGAGACTTGGCTGAGTATGCTCCCCAAACCTTCTTACAATAATGGCCTCTTTAGATAGATACCAGATACCCTTTCTATTTTTCAGCTAACTTCAAGTTTGGGGTGGAGGGCAGGAGGTGTACACTGAATCGAAAGCAGGAGTTGAGAGTCTTGGAGTAGGCTCACTGAGTTGCTGAATGTCTTTAAGCAGATCACTTCTTTGGACTTTCTAAGGGTCCTTCTGGCTCTAAAGTTGTGTTACTGTATCATTTGCCTTTTTAAATAAACTGATAGACAAAAATGTCGATATTTTAAAAAGTCCATCAAATTTATATTTTAAATGAAAGGCTCCTTAGTTGGAAACCTATGCAACAAGAGTCTCAAATCCTCAGGGGCAGGCTGTAGACAACTGGTGAGCTCTAGTCTTTCTGAAGGAGGCAACTCTGCTTGGCTCCTGGGAGCTGCTGCTACTTGGGACCAGAAACCTGTTGTCCAAACTCACAATTTATCAAGAGAAACCAAAAAACTGGATATTTATGTGAAATCTTATGATTGCCTGATGTTGGCAACTAATGAAACTTAAAAAATAGTACTTTACATGCCAAAAAAAGCATGTATGTGGACCAAATTCAGTCTGCCAGCAACCGTTTGTGACCTTTGCTGGTTAAGAAAAAAATCCTTTACCTTTTCTCATAAACACAGAAAATTTTACAACTAAGCATGAAATGTGTTTTAAAGCTACATATTCTGTTTTTCAGAGTAATTGTATTTTTGATGTCTAATTGCTGAGACTTGTTATGGGTTCCCCCCTCCCCATAATCAGCCTAGCTACTTTTTATTTTTTATTTATTTAAAAAAATTTTTTTTCTGCTTTATTTCCCAACCCTCCCCCGCACCCCCCCGCCCCTGTACATAGTTGTATATCTTAGTTGCAGGTCCTTCTAGTTGTGGGATGTGAGACACCGCCTCAAACGTGGCCTGACGAGCGGTGCCATGTCCACGCCCAGGATCCGAACCCTGGGCCGCCGCAGCAGAGCGCGCGAGCTTAACCACTTGGCCACAGAGCGGGCCCTGCTACTTTTTATTTTTAAAATTACTCTCATAATCAAAAGAAATAATGCTAATTCTTCATTAGGAAATTTCACTCATTTTAGAAATACATGATGTAAAAAGTGAAGTTTGTCTCTAACTCCTCCCCTGGATCGCTACTCTGGGTTACACATTCTCGTACTTTCAGACCATATCACACCATACCATTGATCTTTAATTTTGTTCAGAGCTTAACACTACACATTTCCCATTGCATTTTAGGAATGTAGGAATGGTCATGATGATACCTGATATGTTATAACTTCATTTGTTTTTACTACCCTAAAGTTTGTGTAATGATAACCACACTTTTGAGTTTTACTGTATTTTTTTAGTAGTACACCAGTGTATAGGATATATTGTGACATGTGGCGTGATAAACAGTTTTGATTATTGGATTGTTCCCCTCAGGATTCCTTAGGCACTGAAGCTCCTAATTTCACTAAGGATTCTTCAGCATGGGCACGCTGAGGGCATAGTCTTCAGTGCCCTGAATAATACTGCCACAAGCCTTTCCCTCAATAAAGAGCAAAGGTGTAGTATACATCATTGCTTTGGATATTATGTAATTTGTGTAATTTAAACATATTTCAAAATGTTTTAAGTAATAGAAAATGTAACTTTGAATTCAAAATATGTCTTACATGAGTGGGGGCATAAAATGAAATGTAAAATGTAGTCATTTTCCTAATACCGTGTTGGGAAACATGTCTCTCTAAAAAGTCACATATTCTAAATTGAGTTTATTCAAGAACATTTATGAGTTCCTACCCTGAATTAAGCCTGTGCTCTGTGACAGGCATACCTTCTGGTAGGAAATTAGACTTTAAACAATGAATTACATAATTATTTTATTAAGGATTTTGCAAGGGGCACTAAAAGAATACAGTGTGCTGCTGTAAGGGTGTAAAGGGGATGTGAAGTCATCTCGGGTCTCTGAGATGGTTCTCTTGAGGAAGTAATGTCTGAGCTGAGCTCTGTAAAGATTGGGTGCAAATTAAATGGGCAAAAGTTTGTGCATGGTGGGATCATTCCAAGGAAAATGAATTGCTGAGTGGTGTCCCAGAGTAGAAGGAGCGTGGGTTATTCTAGGATCTGAGAATGAGTGGGCTGGAGTGCAGAGAGCAAAGGGGAGGTATGCAGAGGTCAGATCCCGTGGATCTAGAAGCTACATTAAGGATTAGGTCTATTCCTTTAGATAAGATGACTGTATATGTATTGTCCAAACCAGGCCATTTGAGAATGAAAGGTGGCACTACAACTAATATATAAATATATTACGTATACTAATATATAAGTAATATATATAAACAGATTTTTATAATGTTGTTACTTGGATACTAGTCACCAATAGCAGCAATGTAGTATGGAATCTTTGCAGCAGGCTTGCTATGGAAGATGACTCTAAACTGGCATATGACAGCTCCATAAGATCATTGAAGGCAATTTCACTGTAATTTTGGCCACTGGCTAATTTCACAATCCTAAATATAATAGGACTCAATAAGCTTTAGTTTCCCCCGTTTTTGTTTTGAATTTTCCTTTAGAAAATTTTATTACTGACATTTCACACATATATAAAACAGAGAATAATGTAGTAAATTCAATATACTCATTACCCACTTTTAATAATTATTAAGATAATTATTAAATTTGTTTCATTTATAACTCCACCCATTCCTTCATCCCCTGGGTTATTCTTTTAATTATTATTTTATTGAGGTCATAATAGTTTATAACGTTGTGAAATTTCAGTTGTACGTTATTTGTCAATCACCATATATATGTGTCCCTTTACCCTTTATGTCCACCCCCCACCCGCCTCCCCTCTGGTAACCACAAATGTGTTCTCTTTGTCCATGTGTTTATCTTCCACATATGAGTGAAATCATGCAGTGTTTGTCTTTCTCTGTCTAGCTTATTTTGCTTAACATAGTGCTCTCAAGATCCATCCACATGTTGCAAATAGGATAATTTTGTCTTTTTTATGGCTAAGTAGTATTCCATTGTGTATATTTACCACATCTTCTTTATCTGTTCATTAGTTGATGCATCCCTTGGATTATTTTGAAGCAAATTCCAGATGACATATTTCATCTGTAAATATCTCAGTGTGTACCTCTAAAAGATAAGAAAAATTACTGAAAACAAACCTCTTCAAGAACTTTTAACAGTGATTTCTTAATTCATCAAGTATTTGTATTGTACCAGTATTTCCGCTTCCTGATGTTGTTATAAATTAAAAATTTTTTTTTTTACTTTGCTTGGTTCAGGATCCAAATAAGATCTGTACCTTGTATTTAACTGCTACATCTCTTGAGTTTTTAATGAGCTTCTCCTCCATATCTTCATTAAAAGTTGTTTTTTTATTTTTTACTTTTTTCCAGCTTCAGAATGTTTGCCCTGCAGTTTCCTATAGTCTGCATTTTTGCTGATTGTGTTTCTGTGGTGATGTTTACCATATTCCTTTGTATTTTCTGTAAATTGTTGATTACGTCTAGAGAATAGTGGTTCTGAACAGGGTGGGTGCTATTGGCATCTAGTGGTGGAGGCCATGCTGCTGAACATGATACAATGCACCGGAAGCCCCCACAGCCCCCACAGTTCTAGCTTAAAATGGCACTGTTGAGTGCCAAGGTTGAGAAACTCTGATCTGGAGACGTGATGAGATTCAAGTTTAATTATTTTTGGTCTAGTTGTCTCTTTATGATATTAGGGGCTATTGATTATTGCCCAGGTCCATTAATTTGTTAGAGGTTTACAAAAGGTTTATATTCTATCATTCCTTCTCTCTTTCTTTGTAATCTGGACTACCTCTATAAACAGAAACCTCCCTTCATCAATTATTTGGTTCCCCTTAGCTCCAGTTCATACAGTAAAGGCAGGTTAAATGCCTGATGTTTTCCCTTTCTTTACCAGCCAATAACATTTTATATTTTATTTCAGGTTGATCTCCTATCAAGAGTTTTTGGCATTTGAATCTGTTTTATGTGCTCCGGATTCCATGTTCATAGTGGCTTTCCAATTGTTTGACAAGAGTGGAAATGGAGAGGTGACATTTGGTAAGGAAAAAAAAAGATTGTACGTGATAAGTGAAGTTAGTGAGGCTGGTCCAGTCTTTAATTGGTAAATCTAGTAACTACATATAGATTGCTGCTTATTTAAGAGCTGGTCAATAAGTGAAGTATTAATTTCCTAAAAGGATTTACACAGATAAAATTCAAATGGTTTTATTTTCTTCAAAGCGTTAGAGTATTGCAAAAAATTAAGGAATCTAGGAATGCTGTTGCTTCAGCTCACTGAGTCACTGACCCTTTCACATTCCTAAAATAAGTGGTGTAAAGTTTTCTTGTTCTGGGCCAGCCTGGGCAAAATTCTTTATGAAACACACCATGGACAACATGGAATAATCATCATGTTCTTTAAGAGATTTTTGGGTAGAGAGTTCAGAGCTTCTCTGTAGCATCTTTGGAAGATTGCTACTATGTCATTTGACCACCAAGGCTGGAACTGAAGGAAGAAGTTAAGGCAAGAATAGTTAGTATTCTCTGAACACTTATTTTTGATTTCTGGTTTTAGGAAACAAGGCTAGAATATTAAAATTATCATCTGAGTTGGATGTAGATATTGATTTAAGTCCTTTGGTAGGTACGTGATCCAGCACATTGTGATGTCGTGCAAGCATATGAACTAGGATTTCTATCTGTAGCCATGTATTAGTTTTTAAAGATGCTTATTTGCAGAAATTAGTTTGTGTTTAGTAAAAGTATCAGATCATTTTTCATGCAACAGTCTTTTCAATAAAAACAATGTAGTGTTTTCAAGGACCTTGAGCCCTCCTCCCTTTTTTTTTTTGTAGTGGGATTTTTTTTATTGTTGTAAAACAACACATAACATAAACCTTACCATCTTAACCATATTTAAGTGTACAATTCAGTAGTGTTGAGTATATTCACGTTGTTGTGAAACAGATCTCCAGGACTCTTTGTCTTATACATCTGAACTTGAGCCCCTTTTATGGTATGAATTGGCATCAATATGTGGTAGAGAAACTCTTGAAAATCAGGCTTTCCCTGAGCCACAGCACTAAATATTTACTCACTGTAGGGTTTGTTATAAAACAAATATCCTTTAGTTAAACCCAAAAGAAGAAGTACTACTGCCGTGATATGAATGATAAGGAAGTACAGGGATTTGGAAGGACCAGTGGTGCCTTTCCTGTGATCTTAGTGGGCGCATTTTCTAGCTTGGCATTGACCGTTTCCTTCCTTCTCCCCATTGACTCAATTGTCTTCTGTATGAGAAGATTTTCCCAAGTAAATACCTATGCAGAGCTCCATAGGTTTGTGCATATATCTTGTCATTCTCCCTACTTTGGAGCAAGCTCTGGCCATTCTGCCTCTTAAAGAATGTTGACTTTTCTCAGAAACTCCTAAATTCTATAGTTTACAACATAAAACCTTTATCATCTCATCATTCAGCATTAACTCTGTACCCTAATAATGCTGCATTTTTAATTTTCAATAGGTATCACACATGTTCACATGTCTCACTTCCGAATGTGGTGCAGAAATGCTTGGGAAATAACTTGATACAAATATCTGCATTAGTGACAGTATACCTGTGCTTCTATCATGTGTCCAATGTTTAAGAATTAGATTTCCCAAAACCAAATTGTAATTTATTTTGTCCCTCCTACCCTGGGACTGTGGTTCTTTGTGTCGCCTCCATTTGATTGCTTTTCCCAATTTCTACTTTTAAAAACAAGTCCCTCAAGTCAATTCATCCAACAGACTAACAATAGAGACTCATGTCATTGTTGATTAGTATATTAAAGTGAGGGTAAGAAGTAGCTGAGTGGTTTATGCACACCTTATTATTTCATGCATTGAAAGCTTATAGTTAAATCCCAAACTTAGCATTTTATAGATCTTTTGTTTTTCCCTCAGACTATGATTTGTGAGTTAGAATTTCAAGAAAATATAATTAGGATTAAAAGCAAAACAAGTCAGTTTTAGTTTTTTATCGCCTGCTATAAACTGAAGAACATATAAACCCTCCAGAATCCAGCTTTCATTCTTCTGCTCCATAATCTAAAGATAGGACAGTTCTTACAGAATAGAATAAGGCGAACCCACTTTCAGCATTGTCCCTGGCAGGCTGGATGGTTAATTTGATGGTGCTCACCTATTTCCTGGGGACCTTGACCATTTCCCTTTCCTGCCCTGCCTCCCTAGTTTTGAGGATCCATTTTTAGATAAATTTTCTTAACTAAGAAGAATCATAATGAAGGAAAGTTTAATTTTATATTCTTAAGAAAAGAGGAAAAGTATTGAAATTGTTACAAATGTCATTTAACAAGATTTCTAAGGCTCACTCATTTCAGGCCGTATTCAAGACTACAGAATTTCAGCATAAGGAAATAATTAACTTGGAGTTTATTTTTATAGGATTTTGGATCTATGATAAAGGTCAGTTTTCATGTTTGTACCCACTTAATAAAATGAATTGTGTTTATGTATTTATAGACATATGTTTAGGTAAAAGGAAATTTTATATCCATTCTAACTAAATCCTTTTCACCAAATGGCCTTATGTTTTCTAGTTTGGAGCTTATTTAAAGTATAATTTTCTCTTGTGTACATCAGGGGAGAAAGGTGGGAGAGAATATTGGATGCAAGGTGTAATGGTGTGGTGAAAGACTATTATGCCATTGGTATCTCTCGTGGACTATGATGATGATGTTATCTGTGTACTTGTATATACTGTTCTCATCTATGCTTTTGTTTTTTTAGATATGCTTTTAATACACATCAAATTATATACTTAAATTATGTGCATCTTTACAAGCATTTATATAAATAGTGATATTGAACAACATTTACTTGAGTGCCAGACAAGCTTTTCTTATTGTTAGAGATACCTTTACTCTGGAGGAGAAAACTTACCATTGAGACCTTGGTAATGCATTTCAGAATGTTCAAGCTCAGGAGAGGGTTCTGGAGTTTTTAAAAGAGTGAATAAAACCATTAGTTAATTGTTTCCTCTTTGATGTTCCTTTAATAAAACTTCTAATGCATGCTGTGGATAATTACTTAATGGCTTGTATATCTGTTACTGCCTGGTGGCATGAGCCTTGTAGAGGACCTTGCATGACTGGTGTGTGCTAGATAAGTATAAACTTGCCTTAGTCTCACTTTTATCCACTATTATACTAGATATTCTGCTGGGTAGAATTAGGTTGAGGTAAGCTAAATAACCAGTTATACTACATTGTGTTGTCAATAGCTGCCATGCATTTGTCCCAAATTAAAAAAATAAAAGCCTATTGCTTTAACAAAGATGTGATCATTCTAAAAAATAAAAAACAAAATCCAGACTCTTATCCAGTAACTAATAAGTGAATATAAAACATATTATATATATTCTAAGTTTTCTATTAAAATCGCATCAGCATTGTGTTCCAAAGTATTTGCCTAGGAATGGGAACTCTCCAAAGTGAGCTTTTCCAATGGCGCATCTTCACCCCCTGGCTATAGAACCCTCAAAAAGAAGAGACTCCTTTTGACTTTGTACTGTGTTTGACGATCAATATGTACAGCAAATAAAAATGTGTTCCATTTGTGCCTCTAAAATAGACTATTTTTCCCTAAAGGGAAGAAAAGATTGGAGTGGTTTAGGCATAACCATTGCTATTATTAAAAGGTGCAGGAAATGGAGTGTAGATATGAAAAATGTTGTACCTCTCTCAGTGGAAACAAAGCTATAGACATGGAAAAATATGAAATTCTAATGGTAATAAATACCTAGTTTACTCTGGTAAGAATTAGAGCTTCACCTGGGCAATCAAATTAAGTCAGGAAGAATTTTTGAGGCTCCTTTCAGATATTGCAGAGAAAGTTATTTTAATAGTCAAGGCTACTAGATCAGCTTAGAGTTTGAGGTAAAAGAAGGACATGGTGTTATTAGTTTTTATGCCATTTGGCGATAGACTGTTGAAGCATCTAGCTTCTATGGTAATAGATGCTCTTTAAATGTAAACTTACCTTACCTGAGAAACGGACCTTTACATATCCTTGGCAGCAGGACCACTCTGTTGACTGATTGTACAGTAGTCCCTTCTGGAGGTAGGTAAAGGGTTGATAGAAATACTTTTCCTCTGAAAAACAGAGGTGGTCCCCCAGGTAACTAACGACCCACCTGGAAGTCTGGGCCTGAGTCTACATGCTATGTTGGTTGGGACTTCCTTTGAAAGTTCCTGTTGTTGATCTTTTTGTTGTTGTTGTTTGTTTTCCTTTGTTTTCTTTTTTGGTCTCTTAGTTGTTCCTCTTCTTTCCCCCCAAGTTTTCCTTCAGTGAAAAACTCTTTACTTCCACAAGTCTCGCCATTGTTTTTGTTCGGTTATACACAAGGATATTCATTGTTCATGATGGGAGTCCTTCTAAAAGCCTCTCTGACTTCACTTTAAGAACTGTGCAGGTGAAACTCAGCTATTGAGGACTTTTTTCCCTGACAATAAAAATGTTTGATCTCAAGCCTGTAAGTTGGAAGCAGTGGCTCCTGCTGGGCTGGAATCCTTGGAATCAGGATGTCATTGGGCTGATGGTAGGTGGGCTGTGTCACAGGGCTGATGGCTTGTATACCTACAGGAGGAGTTCTCTGGCCACACCGTTGGTACAGCAGCTCCTTCCAGGCTCATTCATGGAGCAGGCATGGTGGCAGTCTTGGAGAAGAGTGCCAGCCCCGGTCAGAGGTAATTTTGTACTGCAGAAAGGTGAACAAGACCTGTAGGAAGCTCCCATAAGGACCAGGGGAGGGATGAGGGTGGATGAGATGGGAGACATAGTGTGGGCTGCTGGGGAAATTAAAACCTCTAAGACATATTTACATAATATGTATGCCTCAATGTGTATTTCATCTAGTCCAATCATCATAAGTGACTGATACAGCTAAACTGACTAATGTTATACGTCTGTGAACATTTTTACTTAATCACAGTTGTCACCATTACCTGCCCTCTTGACAAATCATTGTGCTCCTCTCCTTTGAGCAAAGAGAACATAATGACAGGCTACTTTTGTATCTGGCCCCAATTCCCTCTTCAAAGGAATTATAAACCATCTCTTTCATAAGCCCATGCTCTGCAGGAAGTAAAAAAGTGGTCTGTTGTTTTCTATATGTCAGAAAACAAATGGATTCCTATTTGCCTTAGCAATGCCAACCTAGTATAAAACACTAGATCATGATCTTGCTGCCAGTAAGATGTGACTGTCGTATCCCTTTCATCGGCCAGAACTCTGGCCACTGAAATAGCACTCTTTGGAGTGCTATTTAGAGCTAAAGACCCTTGTTTGCCACTGGAAAGACGGGATTCTCTCTGGGGGGAGAAACTTGCTATGCAGTTCCAATTAAATGTATTGGATATACTTAAGATTATTGGTGTTCCCTTTCATGTCATGCAGAACCTGATAAAACCGGATAAGAATGTCAGCTGTTTGAGCGATTGCCTCACACAAGTGTAAGCTCTCCAGTTCTGGAGCTTTTGTGTAACTTTTTCTTTGATAAGCACATCCTGGTAAAAGTGAAGTGGTAATTATGAATTGGACTTCAAAACCATAGTTGCACTAATTGTTTCTGTAAGCTTCCTGAATTATCCTTAGGCAGTTGGTAGTGGAAATAACGACAGAAGGGAAGTGGGATACATCAAGAGGTACCAAAGTAGGTTTGAAGTTTTGATAGTCCTAGTAACTATAGTTGTAGCCTGTGACATGGCTAAAATGATTAAGTGTCTGGGGTAGTCAGTAAACCGCAGTACATAATAATGGTCATAATAAAATACACAAAGCTGTCAAGTGACCACTTTGGGAGAAGTAGGAAACATTCAAACAATACTAATGGTAAATGATACTTCAATATTTGGGGAGATAACTATGAGTAATTTAGGTCATCATTTTAATTGTTTCAAAGATATTCTAGGATCTTATTTAGAGGTTGCTAGGAAGTTTACAAAATAGGATTTTAGGTAAAGTTTTTATTATAGAGCTATTTTTCTGAATGTAAATTATACATTATAATTTTGGTTTATAAATTTTTTTATGATAATAGAAAAAAATTTTCATAGTTAAACTTTCATAGTTTGAAAGCTTTTGAATCTTTGACTTTGATATAGCTTTACACTGGAGGTTTTGATGTTTTCTGATCATATAGAGGGAATTCAGTTTTATTCCACCATTATATAAAACTTATCTAGGTAGCAATATGTAAATTTCTTATCAAATATTTGAGTTTGGAGAGATTGTGACCATTAAAATGAAGGTTGTCATAAAACAACTCATTCCTTTTAATAATTAATATTACTTAAATATATATAGTAATATAAGTTATCCTATTCTGTTTTCCCTTAATTTCCCCATGTTCTCTTAGTTTAACCCTTTATTTGTTAGAGCTTAAAAATAAGAAATCAAATTAAGTAATTTGAGAATAGAAGCAGCTAATTAATTAGGAGGATTCTAAAAAATCTTTGCTGATCTGCCATAATATTTTAGCTTTAAATATTTTTTGTCAGCTTTATTATCTTAATTATCTTGTAAACTTTAGCATATTTTACAACTTGTTGACGTTTCATATAGATTTAAGGGTAGTCTTTTGTGTTGGTTAAAAGCCAGGATCCCATGAATTGATATTGAGTTAATTCTTTGCTTTTAGAAACAACCCATATATTTACTTTATGTTTGTGGGAGGTGAAAATAATTTGACATGATTTGAAAACTCTGAAATACTATTGCTACTTAGGCAAGAAATAAATGCTACATTCCATTTGAAAGAAAAGATGAGAATCCCATCTCCCCAGTGACATCCAATGCCTTCTTCCAACTTACTGATTACTGTGACCTATTCAGAGCTGTTGTATTGAGTCAAGACTTGTAGAATTTCCAGTTTAGGATTCTTATACACACACACACACACACACACCCCCTCCCCCATAGCAATGCTTTTATCAAGGAAGAAAGGTATATAAAACTAAAGGGAATCCATTAAACCATTTACAATACGAGATCTGTATCTTATTCAAAGAATTAGCAGAAATTAGATAAAATAGCATAGTTGAAGATTATAAAACATTAAACTTGTGTTTACTAATTCTCTCCTATAATTGATAGCTATCAATGGTAAAACCCTTTCACTAATATAATTGGCTCAAATTTGAAAATAATTTTGTTCTTAAGACATCTGTAAAACAGGCTTCCTGCTTTCTTAACTTCGTTAATGATTTTTTTTTTTTTTTGGCATGAGCTTCTAATTAGTCTATCCAGTCTATGCTTGTTAAAGTACCAGTCATTTGTGAATTGACTTTTATAGTAAGCGTAGAACTGTGGAAGAAGGTGAATGACATTGTTATGCATGAAGACATGCTGTCAGAGGGTTTTGGTTGTATATTAACAGTGTGACTGGTTCCTACCTAAAAGTTAGTGCACAGTGGTTAGTCCTTCTTTATTTAAAAGTGAATCACTAATTTCACTTACCTTAAACTATTTTAATAGTTGAGACTGATAATCATGGTTTTTATGGGGATTTTGAAGCTTTCTGTCAAGACCATACTTTTGACAATATCAGAAGCTTTTAATAAGGTGCTTGCTGCTGAGCTAATGATATGCTTTTGGTAGTATTTCTTATTACCTATCTTCAATAGACATATTCAGGCTAGTGTGAATGTAATAATCAAGCCTCAATCAAACCATACTTAGTATGACAAATATTGCATTATACTGTAATCTAGGTATTCATGCTTCTGATAAAGGACTTAATTCGACTCCTTGAGGAACCCGGAAAACACTATTGATTTTATATTGGAATGCAAAGTAGCAGCCATTTATAGTGCAAGATATAAATCACTTCCTAATTAAAATTAAATCAAAGAAATTAAGAATCTCATGGCCTTATATGTAATGGTACACAATCTTAAGTGTAAAATTATATTTTGTATCAATTGTGTTCCTGTGCATGGGTTTCTGGGCACAAAAAAATTTGCAGCTAATCTTAACAGAAGCAGATAATATTGACTTTTAAAATTTCTCTTAATTTCTTTCTGTAGGAACATTGCAGTGGACTAAACTACTTATTCCACATATAATTTATTTTTTTGTTTTCCCTTTTAAGAAAATGTCAAAGAAATTTTTGGACAGACTATTATTCATCATCATATCCCTTTTAACTGGGACTGTGAATTTATCCGACTACATTTTGGGCATAATCGGAAGAAGCATCTTAACTACACAGAGTTCACACAGTTTCTCCAGGTGAGCTTAGTTTTCGTTTTTGTTGTTGTTACTACTGTCAGAGTCAATTCCAACTCCTAGTGACCCTGTGACTCCTGGTATAGCAGAGCTGAACTCTGCCCAGTCTATTTGCGCCATCCTCTCCCCTTCTGGTGCTAGATCAGACAATGCTCTGCTGCTATTCATAGGGTTCTCATGACCAATTTTTCGAAAGTAGGTGACCAGATCCTTCTTCCTGTTCTGTCTCAGTCTGGAGGCTCTTCTGAACCTTGTCCACCATGAGCGATGCTGCTGATATTTGAAATACCGGTGGCATGGCTTTCAGCATCACAACAACATGCAGCTGCCACAATATGACAACTGACAAATGGGTGGTGTGGTTCCCTGACTGGGAAATGGACCCAGGCCTCGGTGGTAAGAGTACTGAATCTTAAGCACTAGACCACCAGGGCTGGCTGGTTTTCATAACTGGTGTAAATATATGCCATTCCTCCTCTACCTCCTTCCATTTTAGTTTTATTAAGTTTATTACCAAAAATAGCAATGCTCTGTGGCATCTTACCTCCATTTTTCATTTCCCTCTCCCGGAGGCAACTTCTTTAAACTCTTATAATGGTTTCCTTCAGTGTTTACTTCCAGAGCTTTAAATAATAAACTTGTGCTGACACTTCTACTTTTTAATTTTTCATTTTTAGGTATTTTTGATTGAATTCTAATTCTGGAAGATTAGGGGCTGGTTCTTTCACCTCTCCCTCTCCAGCACAGACTTGGACATCTTCTGTCCCCACCTCCCATAGAATTATTTTACGATTCTTGAGATCAATAATTATATTTGAATTACTATAATTTTGTAAACACTATGCGTGACTAAAATGATTACTTTTCTTAGAGTTTCTAGTTTTTCTTATTTGTTTAGTTTTCTGTGCGTTAGTGCTAATTCATTCTCAAACTTTGCCTCAGTTATTAAAATCTCATTTTAATGTTTAAAACACATTAGGTATTCTATCAATTTCATCTTCTTGGAGCTCTCGATGAACTTTCTTTCTTTTTTTAAAAAACAGAGGTAAAATTCACTTAACTTAAAATTAACCATGTAAAAGTGCACAATTTAGTGGCATTTAGTATATTCACAGTATTGTGTAACCTCCATCTCTGTCTAATTCCAAAACCTTTTCATCACCCCGAAAGAAAACCCTGTACCCATTAAACAGTCACTCTTCATTTCTGCCTTTCCCCAGCCCCTGGCAACCACCAATCTACTTTCTGTCTTTATAGATTTACCTTTTCTGGAGATTGCATATAAATGGAATTATACAATATGACTTTTTGTGTCTGGCTTTTTTTCACTTAGCATAAGGTTTTCAAGGATTATCCACATTGTAGCACGTATTAGTACTTTATTCATTTTTATGACTGAGTAATATTCCATTGTATTGATATACCATATTTTGTCTAGCCAGATATTCGTTAGTTGATGGTCACTTGAGTTGTTCTCAGATTTTGGCTGTTGTAAATAGTGCTGCTGTGAACATTGGTGTACAAGTATTTGTTTGCATACCTGTTTTCAGATCATTTGAATGTATCTCTAGGAGTGGAATTGCTAGTTCATAAGGTAATTTTATGTTTAACTTTTTGAGGAACCACCAGACTGTTTTCCATAGCCCCTGCACCATTTTCCTGTAACTTTCTGACCTACTTCATGGTCGGAGGCTGGACTTCGTACTGGTTGCATAGCTGTCAGTCTGGTCTCCCTTCAGCTTCATCCTGGGGCATCCATTTGTCTTTCTCTTCTGTTGACTCTCCTGTTTGCTGGATTTCATCTCTTCCTTTGTTATGGTTTACTTCCTCTTTTTGGTGGAATACTTCCTGCAGGGGCTTCCTGAGGAAAATAAAATAACTTTTTGTGAGACCTTCATGTCTGAAAACCTCTGCTCTGTCATTACACTTAGTTTGGCTGAGTATAGAATTCCAGTAGAAATTTATTTTCCTCCTAATTTTGAAAGCATTTCTCTTTTGTTTTCTAGCTTCCAGTATTGCCACTGAGAAGTCCAGTGCCATTCTCATTCTTGATTCTGTTTTGAAACTTTTTTTTTCCACTCTGGGGCGTTTTAAGATTTTTTTCTTCTCGTCAGTGTTTTGAAATTTCACAGTGATATTGCTTGGTGTATGTTTATTTTTATTTGTCGTACTGGACATTCAGTGGACTCTTCTAACTTGAAAATTTCTGTCCTTTAATTCTTGAAAATATTCTTATTGCTTTTCTTATTTACTTCTATTTTCTTCCTTTATAGAACTAGTAAAATATTAAATGTATGAATCTTTAGTTTTCTTTTCTTTCCTATTTTCCTTCTGAACCTTCTGTTAAGTTTTTTTGTTTGTTTGTTCTATTTCTAATTTTCAGGAGCTCTTTTTGCCTTCGGAATATTTCTTTTTAAAAGCAGCACGCTGTTCTTCTTTCGTGGATGTACTATTTTACTTCTCCAAAGATATTAAAGACAGAGTTTTTTGTTTTTGTGTTCTTGCTAATTTTCTTCTTCCTGCAAAGTGCCTGTTTCTTCCGAGTTTCTTTCTTGTTCTTTGTTTGGATCTCTGTTTTTCATGTTAGTGGCTTTTCTCATATGTCTGATGGTCCTTGGTCCTCTTCATATTTAAGATTGAAGCTTAGTGGGAGCTTTGGGTTCATGGTAGTACTTACTAACTCTTACTGTAAAGTTCTCTGGCTGGGCTGTTTTATTGGGGACCTTCTAATGTCTGTATGTTCAGGTCTTTTCTTTTGACCTGGAGAATCAGAGAATAATTATCTGGCCTCCCATCTGGAATGTGAGATCTGTCTTTTGACATTCTGGTTGCTGAGTAAGACAAGAGGGTTGGAGGTCTCAACATTCAGTGTGGGCATGGACTTTGGTTTAATTACCTCGTCTTAACTGTGCCTGGTCTCCCCTAGTCCACAGATCTGTTAGACTCTCCAGACGGTAAAACTCTGCCAGGGTTGGGAAAGGGCAGAGGCCCGGCTACGGTGGGGTAAGGCGGGTAACTAACTGCTTTTTAAACAACCTTCTATCTAAGCCTCCTGTGTTCAGCTTCACCTTTCCTGTCACTTCCAGGGGTACTAGTGCAGTCAATTCCTGAGTCTTTGGGAGGTTCTGTCATGCACATTGGATTACTTTTAGACTTTCTCCACTTCTGGTTTTCTTGGGTCTGCCAAGTCAGTTTACTTGCCCTCCTGCTCTCTAACCTTAAAAATGTAGTTGCTTTCTTCTCCTTTTCTATTCTCTTTGTCTCGAGTTTCTGTTTTATTTTGTTTTTAGTTCCTTTACTGTGATTTTAGTGAAGAATAGGGTTTTGGAAAACAGCAGAGCTAAGTGTACTAGTTCAGTCTCATCCAAAGCCACACCATTTCTGAAGCTCTGCTATTTTCATCTCATATTTAGGTGAAATCCATTTCCAAGTGCATAAGATCTTTAGCTTTGGCATAACGTCCTTTCTTTGCCTTTTTCCTCAGTCCCCTACTCACCCTCTCAATGCAGAAGCAAATTTATTTTATCTTTTATTTATTAGAGTATCTTTATCTTTTTAGATAAAATCTCTTTTTAGAGTATCCTTATTTATTTTATCTTTTATAAGCCCAGAGTATTGCCTTCCTTCCTTAGTGTGATCACAGTTTGAAAACTATATCCTTTAGATGTGGATATTTGTAGAACCTAGTGCTTGTTCTAATACTTTCACTGTTAGTGCCTACCTCACTGACCTTGTAAAATGCTCAAACTGAAAATATTTTATGTTCAAGAGATGATTTTTTTAAAAAGGAAATGTCCTTCCAGCTAGTGTTTTTTAAGATTTCTTTAAAGATGGCATACTCTCATTGTTGCTTCCCTTGCATTTACTGAAGATATTTTATAGTCTATTCTATTCTGATGTTTTAATTATACTACATGAATTGAGAGCTTTATATATGGAGCTTTTTTCCTTTGTTTTGCTTCTCATTTTGAAGTCCTTAATTTTAATTTTTAAAACATTTTATCTTGAAAGACTTCAAATATATTTAAAAATAGAATAGTTTAGTGAACCTCTGTGTACCCATTAACCAGCTTCAACAATTATTAACTGTTGGCCAATCTTGTTTTATCTATACTTTCCATTCTGCCCCTTCCTGGATTGTTTGGAAGCCAGTCCCTTAAACTCTATAGTTTCACTTGTGATAATTAAAAAATCTGTCTTTAAAAGCTACATAAGAATCTTTCAACTGTTGACCTAATAGAAAATCTTTTCTTATAATCCTCTTGCACTGAGGATTCTGCTTTGTCTTTAATATAAAGGTTCACATTTTCTTTAGTACTGAGTGTCATTAGTAAGGCTTAATTATGCCCATGGTTGCCACTGAATATTTCTAAGAAGCTAAGACATATGCATGGAGAAAACAAAGACACAACAAAGATATAAAGAAGGAGCAAAAAAGGAGAAGTGAGGAAGGGAAAATGTTTATAAGATGTGGAATGGACCTGTGTCTGCTGCTGATGCTGCTCAGGGATATCCTTTCTATGGAGAACACTTTCAACCATATTTTAAGGCTGAAATAAAGACCAAAAATTGCTGCTTTCTTGGGAGGGTGGTGTGGTTGGAGCTGAGGTGATAGGAAGATGGAGTGAGTTAGGGAGAATGACTAAAGTAGAAGAGGAAAATTCACAGATATGTGGAGATTAAACAACATGCTCCTGAACAATCAGTGGGTCATAGAAGAAATCAAAAGGGAAATAAAAAATTATGAGACATGAAAATGGAAACACAGCATACCAAAACCTATGGGATGCAGCAAAAGCAATTTTAAGAGGGAAGTTTTAGTGACAAACACCTACATTAATAACAACAACAAAAAGATCAGAATAAACAACCTACCTTTATGCCTCTTGGAACTAGAAAAAGAAGAATAAACTAAGCCCAAAGTCAGTAGAAGGAAGGAAATAACAAAGACAAAGCAGAAATAAATGAAATGGAGACTAGAAAGACAATAGAAAAGATCGATGAAACTAAGAGCTTGTTTTTTGAAACGACAAACAAAACTGACAAACCTTTAGTTAGACCAACTAAGAAAAAAAGAAGACTCAAATTGAAATGAAAGAGACTTTACAAATGGTAACATAGAAATACTAAGGATCATAAGAAACTACTACAAACAGTTATACGCCAACAAATGAGATAACATAGAAGAAATGGGTAAATTCCTAGAAACATACAACCTACCAGGACTGAATCATGAAGAAACAGAAAATCTGAACAGAGCAATTACTAGTAAGATTGAATCAGTAATCAAAAACCTACCAACAAACAAAAGTCCAGGACCAGATGGCTTCACTAGTGAATACTACCAAACATTTAAAGAAGAATTAATACCAGTTGTTCTCAAACTCTTCTAAAAAATGGAAGAGGAGGGTACACCTCCTCCAAATTCATTTTTTAAGACCAGTATTACCCTGATACCAAAGCCAGACAAGGACACTACAAGAGAAGAAAATTACAAGCCAGTATCCCTGACAAAAGCAGATGCAAATACCCTCAGAAAAAAGCTGAATTTAGTAGTACATTAAAAAGATCATACAAGTGGGATTTATTCCTGGGATGCAAGGATGGATAGACAAATCGTTAAATCTGATAAACCACAAATGGAAGGATAAAAATCATATCATCTTTTCAATAGATGGAGGTACAGAAAATGCATTTGAGAAAATTCAGCATCCTTTCATGATAAAAACTCTTAAATTAGGTATAGAAGGAACATACTGCAACATAATAAAGGCCATATATGACAAGCCATGGCTAACATCATACTCAAAAGTGAAAAACTGAAAACTTTTCCTGTAAGTTCCAGAACAAAACAAGGATGCCTGCTCTCACCACTTTTCAACATAATGCTGGAAACTTCAGACAGAGCAATTAGGGAAGAAAAAGAAAGAAAAGGCATCCAAATTGGAGATGAAGAAGTGAAATTGTCCCTGTTTGCAGATGACATGATATTGTATACAGAAAACCATAAAGACTCTACCAAAAAGACACAAAGTCATTAGAACTAGTAAACGACTTCAGGAAAGTTGCAGGATACAAAATCAATATACAAAAATCAGTTGCATTTCTATACACTAACAATGAACTATTGGAAAGAGAAATTAAAACAACCCCATTTGCAATAACACCAAAAAGAATAAAATACTTAGGAATAAATTTAACCATGGAATTGAAAGATTCGTACATTGTAAATCATAAGACGATGAAAGAAATTAAAGAAAACACAAATAACTAGAAAGATATTTCGTGTTCATGGATTGAAAGAATATTGTTAAAATGTTCATACTACCCAAAGCTATCTATAGATTCAGTGCAACCCGTATCAAAATTCCAATGGCATTTTTCACAGATATGGAAAAAACAATCCTAATATCTGTATGGAACCACAAAAGACCCCAGATAGGCAAAGCAATCTTGAGAAAGAACAAAGCTGGAGGCATAACACTTCCTGAATTCAAACTATATTACAGAGTTATAGTATTCAAAACAATATAGTCATAAAAACAGACACATAGACAAATGGAACAGAATAGAGAGCCCAGAAATAAACCCATGTATGGTATATATGGTCAATTAATTTTCAGCAAAAGAGCCAAGAATATGCAGTGGGGAAAGGGTATCTCTTCAATAAATGGTGCTGGGAAAATTGGATAGTCACATGCAAAAGAATGAAACTGGACAACTATCTTATACCATACACAAAAATCAACTCAAAATAGAATAAAAACTTGAATATGACACCTGAAACTTTAAACTCCTGAAAGAAAACGTAGGGGGTAAGCTCCTTGACATCAGTCTTATGATGATTTTTTGAATTTGACACCAAAGCAAAGGCAATAAGAGCAAAAATAAACAAGTGGGACTACCTCAAACTGAAAAGCTGCACAGCAAAAGAAACCATCAATAAAATGAAGAGGCAGCCTATGAAATGGGAGAAAATATTTACAAATCACGTGTCTAATAAGGGATTAATATCCAAAATATACAAGGAACTCATGAAACTCAGTAGCAAAAATCCTCAAATAACCCACTTAAAAAATGGACAAGAGAACTAAATAGACATTTTTTCAAAGAAGACATACAAATGACCATCAGCTACATGAAAAGTTCTTCAGCATCACTAATCATTGGGGAAATGCAAATCAAAATCACAATGAAATATCACCTCACACCTGTTAGGATGGCTATTATGAGAAAGACCAGAGACAACAAATGCTGGCAAGGATGTGGAGAACAGGGAACCCTTATACACTGGTAATGGGAATATAAACTGGTACAGCCAGCCACTATGGAAAACAGCATAGAGTTCCTCAAGAAATTTAAAAAAATAGAACCATCCTATGATCCAGCAATCCCACTTCTGGGTATATATCCAAAGGAAATGAAATCAGTATCTCAAAGAAATAACTGTACTCCTGTGTTTATTGCAGCATTATCACAATAGTAAAGTATAGAAACAACCTAAGTGTCTGTTGACAGGTGAGTGGATAAAGAAAATGTGGTGTGTATATACACAATGGAATATTATTCATCCTAAAAGAATTATTACTGCCATTTGTAATAGCATGGATGAAGTGAAATAAGCGAGACAGAGAAAGATAAATAATACATGGTACGCTTAAATGTAGAATCTAAAAAAAAAGTTGAGCACATAGAAACAGTAGAATATTGGTTGCCAGGGGCTGGGAGGTGGAAGAAATAGGGAGAGGCTAGAAAAAGGGTACAAACTTTCAGTTACAAGATAAATAAAGTCTGAGATTCTAATGTATAATGTGGTGATTGTGGTTGATAATACTGTATTGCATAATTGAAATTTGCTAACAGAATAGAATTTAAGTGGTGTCATAAAAAAAGAGATAGATATATGAGATGATGGATGTCTTAACTCGATGGTAGGAATCCTTTCATAGTGTATACATATATCAAATCATCACGTTGTACACTTTAAATATATTACAGTTTTATTTGTCAATTGTACCTGAATAAAATTGAAATTTAAAAAAAGTAGAAGGGGGAAAATGAGAAAACGTTGTCAAATCATTCTGGTTGTTTGTTTTGTACTCTTTATCTTTCATACATATTTACCAGCTAAAATCAGGGTTTTAGTTTCTCCACTTCTATTGCTCTTTTCAGGAAAATCCAAATATTTAGACGTTTGATGATAGATTTTAAAATGTTTAGATGTTTTTCTCAATGTTGTCATTTAATGCTTGTTAAGACTATTGGAAGGTTTAGTAGGTTTGATATACGTCTCTAGCCTATCAACCTGCTAAGAAAAAATATTTTTAAAGCTTGTTTTATTGTTAAGTATCATACAAATACAGAAAGCCATATAAAACAAATGTATAGCTTAATGAATTATTGTAAGACAAACTCCTGCTGAAGTAATTTTAACGTCTTTGAATTACCATTGAGATATCACAAGTCCATAGGAAAATATAATTAAATAAATTAGTAAAACAGTGAGATTTTCATAAATAAATGATAATGAAAATTGCAATATTTAGTTTTATCTATGAATATTTATGTATTTAGATATGAATATTATTTCCAGAGTTGCAAATAGTGTGAAAATGCCACCCAGTAGCACCATTATGTTGTGATAACAGATTTATTTGGATTATGTTGTGGGTCCTCAGGGCAGAAATACTCTAAATTAGACTTCCGCATAATACTTAGGGTACTACTGGCATATTTTATTGATATCACTTATTACAGAGTTTCACTGTCCAGTGGTTCAAAAGTTCAGAGGTCTTCTGGATTGTTTCACAGTTTGTAACTGTGCCCAAAGCCGGATGGAGTGATAGCTGAACACTAGTTGTGCAGTTTGCTGTTCGTAACTTTCATGTTAGGATCACTAACTAAATATTGCATTTACCAATCAGTAGAGTTTCTCACTAAGTTCATTTTAAAAAACTGTTTGAAAAATGGCCTCTAATTCGTTGAGGGAAAGAGAGAGAGAGCATGAGAGTGAGAAACACTTTGATTGCAACATTTAAAATTGAAAACTGGAAATAAATCTAAACTTTTAATTCAGAAAGTATTCTTAGATGACAAGAATGCCTTCAGGCAGGAGAGAATAAATTTCTGCTTACTTTAAAGGTTAAAATAAAGCACTGAAAACGTACAGAGTAAAGTTGAAGTTAAAAGTTATAAGTAACATATAACTTTTCACGTGAGTGGTGTTTTTCTCCTCCCTTTTCTTTATTGCCATGCTGTGATCCATTCTTCTCCCTGAGGAGTACTATAATACATTTTCTCAGAAAACATGTACTTTTAAAAATAAATTAAAAGTTTTGTTGTAAACTCAGAGCTATACATTGTTCATTTCTGTGCTAAGTGCATGTAGGGGAAGGATGTCTGTCCCTCCTTTTCAAAGCTTACAGTAGGCATGTGCTTTAACAAATCTAATGCCCTATTTCTAACTTTTGCCTTCAGGAGCTACAATTGGAACATGCAAGACAAGCCTTTGCACTAAAAGACAAAAGCAAAAGTGGCCTGATTTCTGGTCTGGATTTCAGTGACATCATGGTTACCATTCGGTCTCACATGCTTACTCCCTTCGTGGAGGAGAACTTAGTTTCAGTAAGTAAAAAGCAAGTACTTCAACTTTTTATTTCCTTAAACCTTTTGAACGATTGGGTCCTGGGTTGCTTCCTTGGACCCATCTGACTGTCAGCTGTTCTAACTATATGCTTGGCTGGTAGAAGGTAAACAGGTATGTGTGTAAGGGAGGTGGGAGTGATGGTGAATAGTCTTTCCCCAGATCATAGCTTTTTTCAGAGCCACCGTCTTGCTCTCATGTATTTCCAGATTGTTTATTTCCATTTACAGAGTGCAACTAAAGAAAACAAGGAAATTTGTAGACAAGAGTGTGCAATTACTTTTTCCAGTGGGCGGTACCTCTCCCAGACACAACTGCCTTCACCTTGGCCTCTTTCCATCTCACCAAGCTCCCAAAGCCTTGCTATAAGGATGGCTCTTTCCTTTGTTGCCTGCAGGGTGCTGTTTGCTAGAGGAATCGTCACTGGCCTCTACACTCTTTTAATAACCAAGGCCATGGCAGAAGGTATGGAGGAAATATGTGGGCACCAGCTTCTGGCTCACTCCTCTCTCTGCCCCTTCACCTGTACATTCAGTTTGCATGGACCAGACAGTTTTTGTTCTGTCAAACTGCTAATCTCTGTAAAGTAATCATCTGGACCAATAGCAAACTGATGTCATCCACTTCCTCACAAAGAGTGGTGAAACTTTCCTCACGTACCAGTTTTCTTGTTCATGTGTTGTACTTATGTATAAGTTTTTGATTTCTGCTTGTTTTAAATGGAGGGAAGCCAATGGGTGCTTTTGTTGTTTCAGCTGAAGATCATTATCCCTGATTTAGACTGGGGTAGAAAGATCAACTTCTGTTCTTTTTCTTCAGTGAATTTGAACATGGAGCATGTCACTTTCTCCTACACGTTTCACCTCCTTGACACCCATCTCCCACTCCCCTACCCTCACCTCATACCCAAGCCAGAAAATGAAAGAAGGAAAGAAAGAAAGGGAGAGAGGGAAGGAAGGAAAGAAGAAGGAAAGAAAATCCTAGAGAGAAGGACTCACTCAGTGCCTTGGGATTAAAAGACTCATTTAATCTTTCCACTAGGGTTAGAGAGACCTATTATAGCCTCAGTTTACCGAATGCCATTTCAATCCCCAGAGGAATGTATGAAATAATTTGAGTGCTGCTTTTGGGACACTGGTATCCAAATTCAGGCTAATACAAGTATCATGTGTATTTGGGCTGAGGCATGTGTGAGAGAGGTGGTGGGAGTGGATATATTTGCCTATCATTACCTACACTATTCTTAATAGACCTTTATAATTAAGGTTGTCACACTGGTATTTCCATAAATAGATTTATTTTTGATTGATTTTTTAAATAGAGAATGTTTTCAATCGTATGGGTTCTTCTGACTCCTGGCTTAGAAATTAGGCTTTTGAAAACTATGAAAAATATTCTTTTTGAGTTTATGTCCAAGTGGTGGGCAGAGGGAGAAATTACCTCCTCATCCTGCAGAGGTGGTGAAGCCCACGTTGCCCACCATCCCTCCCCAGGCATGAGAGAGCCTCTTTGGCACTGTTCCACTAAAGACATAATTTATAGCAAATAAATCCTCCCTAGATTTTCTCTACATTTTTGGAGTTTTTGGTAGTTGTATCTTGCATGATACAAATTTAGAGCCCAGCACAGAGTGCTAAATATCTTAGTTATAACAATGGCTTTAAAAAAAAAGATTAGGAAAGTTGATATAGTAAAATAGTCTTAAAATTTAAAGTTACCACTGGTTTTTGTGTATGTGTGGAGAGGAAGAAAAGCAAGTTTTAAAAAATACTCCTTATATTGTCCTTCCCTTATATTGTACCTTAATGTTTGGGTTATCCAGACCTAACAGGAGGTCCATAGTTGAGGGTCTTGGAAATCCTGTTTAAATAACCGTTGTTTTTGATCTGTGATAATTATATTTGTTGTTTCTGACCTTATAGGTAGATGAACCATGAAGTCCAATTTCCAGATGTTGCTTTCTTCCTTAAAACCTAAATTACGTAGACCTCCCTGAGGGCATGAAATGCACTGAATGTTTCGTATGATACTTTCCATGTATTTACGGACTGGTTGTTAATCGTTTTAATAACGAAGACTCCTTTGGATCTTCTTTGAGAAAAGTGGCATCCATAAATGTGTTTTTTGTTTTTGTTTGTTTTTTTAACTTTTTGTGTTGTCGTTTCTTAGGCAGCTGGAGGAAGCATCTCACACCAGGTTAGCTTCTCCTACTTCAATGCCTTTAACTCCTTACTGAATAACATGGAGCTTGTTCGTAAGATATATAGCACTCTAGCTGGCACAAGGAAAGATGTTGAAGTCACCAAGGGTAAGATTTAAAAAATATATATTGATTTGAATCTCAGCATTTTCGCTTTTGTTTGTCTAGGGCATGAAGTTGATCTAAGTTTACCACTCTGAAGCCAGATTTAGAAAGTATGTTACCATGTGTATTTGCTTCACTTGGGCCATAATAGTCTCCAAAATCCAGGTGGATTTAATGGGATGCTGAGATCAGGAATGAGAAAGTGGCTTTGACAGTTTTGAAAAGAACCTTGGCCCAATCTGTCAAACAGGTCAGTGGCACTGTGGCAGCAGCTTGTTTGTAATCGGAAGGAGTTGCCACAGAAAGATGGGCAAGCCTGCTCCTTTTACTGAATTGTAGTAGGAGGTTTTAGGTGACTGGAGAACAGCCAAGTCTTTTATCTTTGTAACTCTGGAGACCAAAGCCAATAAATAAGATAAGAGAGAGGATTCTAAAGAGATTGTTTCATCTTTGAAGTTAATTTATCTGTTTTATCATCTTAACATTTTATCTTTTGCCAGCTTTTGGAATTTTGTAGTTATTCCTATATAGTTGAACTTGGGTATTTAAATTGTGTTTTAGATTTCTAAAATAGTATTAAAATGCCTTAAGCTTTCAGATTATAGTTGATTAAGGTAGAAGTTTGTTGTATATTAAGAATCTTTTAGGATTTTGAAATATTTTCTTTTTCTTCCAGAGGAATTCGCCCAGAGTGCCATACGCTATGGCCAAGTCACCCCACTAGAAATTGATATCCTATACCAGCTTGCAGACTTATATAATGCTACAGGGTAACTATTCCGATAATTCTCCATGATATTTATTATAGGACAGTTGTTTTAACATGTGAATCAGTCGTCTGCTTTCAGTTCATTTTAACAATCCTTTATTCAGTGTATAAATTCCAAGAGAGACAGGCAGATAGGAGAAAAGGGGAGGAGGGAGAGACAGAGGAAGACACTTTAAAGGTAGGAGGAGATAGAGGGAGGGACAGGGAGAGAAAACAAGAGGGGGAAAAAGAGAGAAGAGGGGAGGGAAAAGGAAGAGAAGAGATGGAGAGAAAGAGGTAAAAGAAAGGATTAGGGGTTGAGGGACATGAGAGAGGGAAATGGGTGAAGGAAGAAAAATGAAAGAGAAGGGGAGGGAAGCGAGAAGAAGTAAGAGAGGGATGGAAACTTGATTTAATTTGGACTGTGAGGAGGTGTTAGGCATTTTAAGAGATTTGTGGAAATTTGCCTAAATTTATAATAAAAACTGAGGTGCACGTTCAGGAATCTTGTAATCTTTTCGGTTCATCCCGAATAGTCATTTTACTAAACAGTATATACCATTTTGTGTTGGAGAGTATTATTTTCTTGAAATATTCCTGTGATATTATCATCATAGTTACTGTCACAGACAACTCAGATGTTTTATGCCTCTATTTTATAGACTGAACTAACCAAAGCACATAGAGGGTATTTAATTTGCAAAACCTTAGGCAAATCCAAAAGAAAAACCCTTATCTGTGGGCTCCCAGCAGGACCTGTGGGATAAGGCACTTACAATCTATTAAGGGGTCAGATTTTTTTCACTCGCCTCTAGTAGTTATTTAAGTGTAGGAATACCTGAAAAATGGGTTTTAACTCTAGAACTGAGGACTAATAGAAGTTGAGTGTACATGGGTGATTTATTGCCTTTGTTCTATATAATTGAACTGGAGATAATACTAAATATACCAGTCCATCTTTGGTGATTGACATGAAATATCAGGCCATGCCTCATCCACGTAGAATTCACATTTTTAGCTAAGGTTTGAGCCTCCTTCATAATAATAAATGCTTTCTAAACATGCTTCTCAAAACTGGATCTGGTGTGACCCTCTAGCTGGTTCATGGAATGTACTTATTTTTAAGTAAATTTTTTGGAAACGTTAGTACATTCACATGGTTCAAAACTTAAAGAGTTTAATAGAGCATGCCACGAAAAAGTCTCCCCTCTACCCTGTGCCTTTTCTTAAAGACAACCAGTGTTAATCTGTTTTGTGTTTATCCTTCTCGAGATACTTTACACCTATGCATTAAATATATATGCTAGGTGAATACGTTTAGTTTGTATGAACTGTCAACGTCTTTACTTTGCTTCTGGCAGGAATTATTTTTTTACTTTTAATATCTATCATTGGAGTCTTATTAAATTTGTGTACTCCACATTATTTCTCTGGAGTCTTTTGCTTTTTGTTGTGGCAAGCACAGTCTAAAGATTTTTTTTCTTTCTGAAATGATCTGTGTGAATAGGGAAATATTACTCTTTTTTTTTTTTTGAGGAAGATTAGCCCTGAGCTAACTACTGCCAATCCTCCTCTTTTTGCTGAGGAAGACTGGCCCTGAGATAACATCCGTGCCCATCTTCCTCTGTGTTATATGTGGGGCGCCTGCCACAGCATGGCTTGCCAAGCGGTGTCATGTTGGCACCTGGGATCCGAACCAGCGAACCCTGGGCCGCTGAGAAGCGGAATGTGCACACTTAACCGCTGCGCCACTGGGCCGGCCTTGGGAAATACTACTTGTAAACCATAGTTCTTCCCCTCCCCCCTTTTTTGTGAAGACAGATAATCTTGGTGTGAGAAATTTGTCGATGTCTAATAGTTTTTTCTTTCCCTTCTTTTTTGCCTGAAGGCGCTTGACTTTGGCAGATATTGAGAGAATAGCCCCACTGGCTGAGGGGGCTTTACCTTACAACCTGGCAGAACTTCAGAGACAGGTAGGAGGAGTCTCATAAATAGAATCACCTTCAAAAATGCTGAAATACTGTGTACATGGCAGTCTAAAGCTTCCGAATGCTATGAAAGTTAAAACTACTGTCCAAAAAAAGACTTTACTTAGCTCAAAAATTACCTTTATAAGGAACCCTCATACACTGCTGGTGGGAATGCAAACTGGTGCAGCCACTGTGGAAAACAGTATGGAGATTCCTCAAAAAATTAAAAATAAAACTACCATATGATCCAGCCATCCCACTACTGGGTATTTATCCAAAGAGCTTGAAGTCAGCAATCCCAAAATCCTATGCACCCCAATGTTTATTGCAGCACTGTTTACAATAGCCAAGACGTGGAAGCAACCTAAGTGTCCAGCAACAGACGAATGGATAAAGAAGTTGTGGTACATATATACAATGGAATACTACTCAGCTGCAAAACAGAACAAAATCATTCCATTTGCAATAACATGGATGGACCTTGAGAGAATTATGTTAAGTGAAAAAAGCCAGCGAGAAAAGGATAATCTGTGTATGACTCCACTCATATGAGGAATTTAAAATTATGGACTAAGAACAGTTTAGTGGATGCCAGGGGAAAGGTGGGGTGGGGGGTGGGCACAAAGGGTGAAGTGGTGCACCTACAACATGACTGACAAACATTAATGTACAACTGAAATTTCACAAGATTGTAACCTATCAATAACTCAATAAAAAAAAAATAAAGACAAAAAAAAAATTACCTTTATATAACTCTTACCCCCACCCTCATAGGATATTTTTATGGGGTAACTAGATTTATGTTTATGTTTTTTTATTTTAGCTTTATTTTATTTAGTTTAGTTTTTTATTTTATTTTATTTTTTATTTTAGTTTATTATGAAGATAAGGAAAATAAGAGTGCAGACATACATGAGCTTGGCTTCCTTCCCCCTGGAATTAGCAGTCTTTTCCTTTCATTTGTCTAGTCACATTTAAAGATTAGTGTTAAGTTCACCTTGTGACATTAAATTGATATTTATAGGGTTTTTAAAATACAAAACATTCCTCTAATGAAATAAATCTTTCACTGAGATTGTGTCTTACAGATTAAAGCAATAATACAGGAAAACTAATTAATGAACCAGAAAGAAAATCTTGATTATTATTACATTTTTGATAAAATGTTAGTTTGGTTTTTTTTTATGTTAGGATGATTAAAACAAAGCTTCTGAGTCCTATAAAGTTAATGCAGTCCTATTTCTGATCTCAAAAATAGTGTTTTGGTAGGAAAATAAGCCCCATGATATTACCTTGAAGAGTGAAATGGAATGGTTTTTAAAGCCATCTTGTTTTGAACTGAAATTCCAACTTCTGTAGCATTTGGAGGAAACCTCAGTGGTGGAGATGGTCTCATGGCTTTGGGTGGGTGGGTGAGGGTTAAGAGGACTAGTCCTTGTCCTCCTGGTATTTCCCTGTTCTAGTAGACATGAGACCTGTGTCTCTTGTGAGTCTTTAGGGGACTATGATGTTCTGTGAGGCTGGGAGACATGGGAGGTCGTGGGGAGAGGAGGGAGAAGACAGGAGACAAGCAGAGAGAGAAACAAGCTAAATGGACATGCCATGGAGAGAGCCCAAGTCCACTTGTTCTTCATTGCTGCCACATTGGTGAATACCCAAGTGTGCTTGTGAAAAATCAAGTTTATAGTGTGGTTCACTTTGGGACATTCCGGTAGGAAATCCTTCTTCTACTTGAGCTCCATGGAATGATTCTGCCTCTGAAACTAATTAGAATTTCCAGTTTTATTTTACATAATAAACAAGAACTTTTGTAGTCAGGTAAGTAAATCGCAAATGGAAAATATTGCTTTTATATCTCCATTTTATATTAATACTTTGCTTGGTGTGTAACAGATCTTCCTGCAGGTTAAAATATATCTGTAACCTATTGCAGTTTAGCTTCTTTAGTGCAAAAAACTCTTATCTGCAGCCCTCAAAGTTTATTTCCATTACAAGTTCTTAGAGCTTTTAAAAGTAGATGGATTTACTCCAATTCATTGATTTATAATAAAATTTAATGAAATTATTAAAAATTTGAGACATTGAAATATTTAAAGAGCTCTTACCGAATTTGTTTAGATTTTGTGGTATACATTTATAAAAATTTGCTCTTAAAGTTTGAAAAATTGCATTTCAAAAGGACGTATTTTTCAGTGTTTCATGTCTATTAATAGAGCTTTCCCTAGGGGTGTTCTTAATTTTGTAATTGGGGAATATTTCGTTTAGCTTATTAAAAACAGTGTAGTGAATTAAAAAGTCTCAACTCTTTTCCTCCTTTCTCGGCCTTTCTGCTGCTCTTACTTTTTGTTTCACTTGCATCCTAGAGGCCATACCTGGAAGTTTTCTTTGTAATTTTTGGTGTCCTAAATCTACATCTCTTGTGTTTCTTAGTTCTTAGGAGGGTGATGTGATTCTGCTACTGGTATAAATTTTCTTGAAGACAGTTTCGAAGATGATTTGCCTGCCTTCAGTGGCAGCACTGATGCTTTTATGCTGGCATGGGTGGCCTCAAAGGTCTTGTCACTGGGCCAGCCCAATAGCATAGTGGTTAAGTTTGCATGCTGTGCATTGGTGGCTGGGGATCACAGGTTCACATCCCAGGTGCAAACTGGTACACCGCTCATCAAGGCATGCTGTGGCGGCAACCCACATACAAAGTAGAGGAAGATTGGCAGGGATATTAGCTCAGGGACAATCTTCTTCACCAAAAAAAAAAAACAAAAAAAAAACAAAAAAAAAAGGTCTTGTCACATACATAGGAAATGGGCAGTAATAAAAACCATCACTCTCTCCTCTTTCCCTGGGTTTCTGATTGGCATATCAAGTGGTGGTGGGGTGCTTTCTCTGCCTTTTTCCTAACCAGTAGGATGGTACAGGGATCTGGAATCTCCAGAGAGCAGGGAGAGATCCTGCATATTCTTGCATTGTCCCCAAAGGAGGAACTCAGAGCCTGCATTGTTCTTCCTGTCACATATCAGCTAGATTGGATTGCTGAGGGTTAGGAATAGAGAAACAAAAATGAAGATTTTAAATCTACTTTTCCCCTATAAGTTATTGTGAAAACAACACCTGAGAAAATAAAACTCAGAAATCATAAGTAATTTTTAGAGTTTCATAGAAACAGATTTATGAAGATTGTTTAAGAGGGATTCAAATTTAATGTCCCTAGTCACAGCCATCATAAAATCTGAACTTCACTGTCCTTGGGATCTGGTACAAGTTTCTATGGGCCTCAGTTTCTCCTATAGTAAAGTGAGTACCTTCAAATATTTCCAAGATTCCTTCAAGCTTCTACACTCTGTAAAAATGGTGTGAATCAGTAGATTTTTATTTTTATTTTACTTTCAAAATTCTAAATGTATCCTCCTTTTTTCCTTGTAGCATTAAAAACTTTGTAAGGAATACAGACTAGGAGCCAAGTAGAATAATGTAAAAGTATGCCTAAGTCCTTACAGCAACCAAAGTAGTGAACATTCTGCAATTTTCAGTCTAGAAAAGACTTTTTGGTTAATATATTTTAGATTGTGAGGCATGCTAAGGCAGCCATGTAGACTACTAGTTTAGTGACTCAGTTTTTAAAAATTCTCTAGGGCACAGAATTACAATAATGCTAAGTATAACTATTTTTGTGTCACTTCCAGAAGACATTTTTTACTCTCTTATAATTTTTCCTATATTGCCAAACTAGGAATACATAATTATCTACATTTCATATGTGGAGTGTTCCCCTACAGGAATCTACTTGAAACTTAGATATAAAATAGGAAGGATAGCATGTTTTGTTGTTACCTCCCTGTGAAAGTTGTTACAAAAACATGTTCGTGATAGAGACCTGTGAGCTCAGAAATAGAAGGGAAGTTAGGAGAGGCAGAGGTTAAGAACTTGGGCACTGATTATGTAGCATCCTTCCTTTCTCAGTTTCCTCATTTATTAAATAGAGACAATAGTATCCATCTGATAGGGTTATTGTAAGAATTACATGAGAAAATGCACTAACATTAGCGTGCAATGTGTTAACTGCTATTATTGTGGTGGTTGTTCCTGTTGTTGAATATGAGAAGCCTATCTGAGCAAGCTCCAAGTTGGGCTCAGATGTATTTATGACACAACTCCTTCATCCATCCTCATCTGCTTTCCTTAGGTGGAAGGGGATAGGAGGTGAGGAAGAATTATATCTTTATATTTATTGCCTGAAATGTTTTACTTTTTACATTTTTTTGTGCTGGCTGAAATTCTACATACATTTTCTAAAAATTTAATTAATGGATATTCATATAGAAAAGAAACCCCTACCCCACACCATACACAAAAATCTGTTTCAGTTGGAATGTTCTAAATATGAAAGATAAAAGCCTAGAGAAGGTAACATAGGAGATTATATTCGTGATCAAGAGATAAGCAAAGATTTCATAAACAGAGTACAAAATACCTGTCATAAAGAAAAAGATTAATAAGTTAAACATCATTAAATTTAAGAACTTTTGTTCATTGAAACATATCACTAAAAGGGTTGAAAAGACAAACTACACAGAAGGTAACGATAGAGGAGATCCGAATGGCAGAAGAGAGGGAGGATGGGAGAGGGAGAAAAGAAGAAAGCAAGGAAAGTTTAGTATCATTAGTAAACAGAGAAAATACACATTAAAACTACAATTCAGCACTGTTTTATACTATCCAGATTGGCCAAAATAATACTCTGACAATGGCGAGTGTTCAGGACGTGGAGGGATGGTAACTGTCGTAAAGCTGCATCACCACTTTGGAAAGCATTTGCCAGTATCAACTACAGTTGAAGAGACACATGCCCTGTGACCTGGCAGTTCCTCTCCTGGTGTAGTCCCTAAGAGGAATGACTACGTGTGTTGATTAAAAGACTCTTGCAAGAACGTATATAGCAGTGTTATCTGCAATAGTAAAATATTGGAAAAAATTCTCCAATATTCATCAACAGTAGAATGGGTAAA